GTATGGGTATTGTGAATTATGAAGTGTTTTAATCTATGGCTTTAAGCCAAGTGGGGGAGCCTGCTATAGACAAATCAATTCATGGGTATGTGTCAAATTTTGTTTGGGTCTAAAGTATACTTGGGAATCAGTGATGACTTGCAGAGGTGGAGTTCGAAAATGACTCGAATAAGGAAAATTCCTGGTTACAGATTATATTGCACGGATGAGTATATGAAAAATCGTGGGATGAGGGAGTTGTTATTTTCAACATATGTAGTATGCACAGAGTATGAATTTGATTGGGGTATTAGAATAGAGTTACTTCTTTGAGTGTTGTTGTGCTAATGGGGCACGTGTCTTTTAGCCCATTTGGGCGGTGCAATTAGATTTGAGCAAAGTGGGTGACTCCCGAGAAAATTCCAGTGGATTTGAGAGTTTTATATAGCAATTGAGAATGTTTCCGGACTTGTGTATGGATAAAATCCGAGATTTGCATTTGATGGTGCCTGGACATGCGGAAATTCTATATGACTATGGATTCTACATTTTTGTATAAGGAAGGTAAGAAGAACAATTTCAAATTCACATAAGGTATTCTCAGAGTAAGTGTTATAGTTGTGGTATTTTTGAAGGTGCTTAAAAAGAATACAGTTGCTTATGGGCCGTAGGGCGTTGCTCAACCATACGCTGAGCCTTCAAATATGAAATAACCCTACTAGGTACATAGTCTATAGAACCGCTCCACTCAACCCTTGGTAACCCCGGAATCGGCAACGCCACGGTCTTAGCGTGACAATCTAGAACAGCATGACATGGAGACAGCCAATCCATACCCAATATCATATCAAAATTGACCATACTGAGCAGCAAGAGATCCACTCTGGTCTCCAGACCCCCAATGGTCACTCCACATGATCGATATACACGGTCCACAATAATAGTATCACCCACAAGAGTAGATACATGAACAAATAAAACTAAAGACTCATGGGGCATATCCAGAAAATGAGCGAAATACAAGAAAACATATGAATAAGTAGACCTGGGGTCAAATAATACCGAGGCATCTTGATGGCAAATCAAACACTTCACAGGGTAAGGAGGGAAGTCAAAGCTAGAACTAGAATAGAAGAAGAGTTGGACATCGTAGTTCAACCTCAACCACTTGAGATGGCAGGTAATGAAGAGCGACCAGTGATCGAGGCCGCAAGGCCTAATCTTGCTAATATGACTCAGCCTATAGTGAAGCTTTATATCACGGGTCACTTTGAGCTCAAACAGTATATGGTACAGTTGATTCAGTCCACAGGGCAGTATGTGGGTCTATCTCATGAATATACGCAATGACACATTCAGAATATTTTGGAAATTACGGATACTTATAATTATCCGAATGTTTCCAAAGACTACGTCAGACTAATGTTATTTCCCTTTTCACTGCTGGGGGAAGCCAAAGAATGGTTCTCCGAGTCCCTTCCGAATTTGTCTTCAGATTGATACTTCTTTTGCTAAAATACCATGATCTCCTCAACCTTTTTTGTCTAAACCTTAGCCCTCTCCTTTGCTGCTCTAAGCTGGATTTCAGCCAAAGTTAGTTGTGCCTGAACAACCTCTTTTTCCGAGGTCAAACGATCCATTCAGCCTCTCTATTCATCGGTCTTAACTTTGACTATATCAATTTCAGCTCGAAGTTAGTTAATCCGATCGAGTTTTTGCTGGACCTGCGGATTTTGACCATCGGTCACCGAATCAAATTCATCGTCACTAACCTCAAAAACGTTTACCTACTCGACAAAATCAGCATGTTCCTTTCGGGCAACTTCCAGCTCCGCACAAAGATTCTTAACCTCCCCTTTGAACTGCTCGCTAAGAAGTTTAAAGGCGTCTCTCTTCTCAGTGAGCTCACAAACTTCAGCTTCGAGTAGCTTCAGCTCGTCCTGGTACCTTAAAAAAGATCTTATGATGAAGCACCGAGGCCTACGAACACGAAAATAAACACTAAGTTATCTACGAAATAATCTAAGTGCAAATCAAAAAATCACTTAGTAAAGCATGAAGTTACCCGGTTCAGCACCTGTTATGCTTCATTGAAAAGGCAGGGTGCATCCACCTTGTTCATCTTGGCTTGATCATCCTCGGTCGCCAAACACCGAAGATAACTGCTTACCCCTACGGGGGCGGAGAGGACTCGGGCATCTTCCGGAAGGGAGATAACAATAGATCACTTCTGATCGGGATTAACAATTGGGCAGGGAATCGATCGACCAATTTCGGGCTTGAGGAAGGCCCGCTTGCTTTAAAGGGTAAGCTCTTCCTCGGTATCTCTAAATTTCCAAATCCAGCGGCGTCCTCTATGGCTGCCAAATCCACGCCGTCGGAAAAAATTGCGGAAGGGGTCGTTCGCTCTACGGGCCCCTCGATGGGGCGTTCTTTTGCACCTTGGGCCTCGTTGAACATCGACTCTGTGAACGAGGGCGACTCGGCAATCTCTATCGGGCCAAGTGCTTTATGCGGGGCTTTGCCCGCATCCCGGGAAGCTTCAGTTCCTACCTCCTTCTCGGCCTCCCCGACTAGATAAAGATCGGCCTCACCTCCCTCTAGTTTGGAGGTCCCTTACCCTTCGACCGGCTCGCTGGCCACCAGATCGAAGGCTTCTCCTTCCCCCTCGGACTCGTCCCTCAATCGATAGAGTGAGTCCGGAGACAGTACTCGAGCACTGGTGCTTTCCTTGGGTTTACGCGCCAATCATTTCCTTGGCTTCTTCTTCTTGGAGCTCGGAGAACTTGGAGCCCTTTTTCTTTTCTTCTCTTTATCCTGCCTCAGAGCAGATGGTTCGGTGAGGATATCATCATCACCGGATGGAGGCCTCATTGCGACATCCTTGGAAAGACCTGCAAAGAAAAAAGAAATGAGTAAGGGCGCAACAGCATAGAGGAAACCTAAGTGTTGTCCACTCAAGAAAGGAATCTCACCGTGAGAACGGGCCTCCTACCGGCCCTTCGAAATCTCGCGCCATGCGCGTTCGGAATACGGTTTCTGCAACACAATGCCCTCGACCCACTCCTTGAGTCGAGGAACTGCATCCGACATCCGAGCACCAGCTGCACCAGCACAAAACATCGATGAGAAGGGAGGAAAAGGAAAAGCAATGAACAAAATCTTGAAAGCAAGATTATACTTACGTGTCTTGTTCCACTTCTCAGGAAATGGCATATGCTCGGCTGGGATCAAATCCGAGGTCTTCACTCGGACAAAGCGGCCTAACCAGCCTCGATCCCGATCTTTGTCGAGGCTTAAGAACGGGGCCTTGCTGGCCCGACGAGCAAGCTTGATTACTTTATAAGTGCAAGAGATGGTCGAGGGTGAAGGGATACCCCTCGATTTTGCTTACGAAAAAATGGAGAAGAATTACTATCCTTCAAAAAGAAGGGTGAATTTGACCAAGGGTCACCTTGTACCTCTTACAGATTCAATAATGACCGGGTTCAAGGGACCCAGCGTGAAGGGATAAGTGTAAATACTTAAAAATCCCTACATGTGGGTAGTAACGGCTTCCTCAGGCTTGGGGACTACTACGTGCTTATTATCCCAGTTGCAATCTTTCTTGACCTTGGAAAGGACGTCCTCGGTGATCGAGCAAATATATCTCGAAACTGGCTCACACCGACCCGGTACCGAGGAGGGCTTCTCGTTCTTGAAATCAGCACTGGTCAGGCACCTCCCGGGGAGGAACATTTTCAGAGGAGGTTCCGGTGCTGGTTCCTCGATAGCAGCAGACGAAATATTTTCCTCTACAACCGGTCGCGAAGCAGAGGGAGTTTCTTTTTGGGGAACGAATTTTGAAGTCTTCGCCATTTCTTTGATAGATGAAGAAAAGAGAGGGAGTTTAAAGATTAACCTTGATGGTTGGGGATAAAAACAGAGCTCAAGTTCTTGTAAAATGATTTCAGAATAGCCAGAAATTTAATGCTGGGAAGTGTTGGAATTTCTAAGAAACAGGAGTAAAAAAGATTTGGATGTAAAGTTTGAATGAATAAAGAAGGGAGTATTTATAATTTTCAAACGACGATTCAAAGCCAGGAGTGGCCGACCAGTAACTGACGAGCATTTAATGCCATTAAGACGTGATTGACGAGACGTTTCGTTCATTTTGTCGTCTCTGATGCGGAGTACCGAGGAGAGAATCGGAAGCTCATATCATTTTTCGCCGTTTACTCTCCGAAAAAATGAGGGGACTATCTGTATACGGTCGAAATCGGGCTCGACTATTGCACGGTAGATCGGGCTCGGAACGCGAAGAGTTGAAGATCGACCCCGAGTCTCATCGAACCAGAACACGAGGTCAGAATGTCCGTCCTCGAGAACATTGAGCCCATGATCCCGGAATCGACCCTGACCCCGAATAAGCTTGAGGAAACATTGCCGGCATGACCAACACAAGACCGAAATAACGGAAGGCCGAAATATCCGTAACCGATCGGATATTTCGGCGGGAATCTCAGCACGTATCAATAAAGAACTGACAAATCAGCAAACCATGCGATTTTTACCTTTTATAGAATTATACCTAAAGTAGGACTCACCTACTATATAAAGGGGTCTGATTACTTGTAACACGCATCCTAAAGCAATATATTATTATTCTCGTCAAGTTCTTGTTACTCTCTTGCTGTTTCTGTTCTGATATCAATAAAAGCATTTTTGGCTCGAGGGTGGCAAACCTTCCAAGGCTAAGACTGTTCAATTTGTGTGGTTAGTATTTACTTTTCCATTACTTATTTCAATTGCAATCTGATTTGTCGTTCAGTATAAAATTAAATCACGTATCCTTAAAAATACTTATAAATTTAATTGTTATTCGATTTTAAAGGTAAACAGTCTTAACAATTATGACAGCCATAATATTAAGTATAGTGTATTACGTGCGCTATATCGGCAATGTATATCGCATGTATATGACACGAAGAATGACGGGGTTCAATTTTGCTAAGGAATAACCTTGACCCAATTTGATAGGGTTAAAAACCCCTGTTTAAAACCTATTCGAGCAACAAGCTTAACCCAAATTTGACGCCCCGTACGGGTTAAATTCTATTTACTCGTGAGACGCGCAGTGCAAAGTAAGAAATAATTATGGAGGAAAAAGACGAGCTGCAAGAATCTGCTACTCCTTGCTTGCATTTAGTCTCTGCTTTCCTCGCCCGTGAACCCCCGGATTTCGTTATCTCATTTGCCAGGTTACTATTTTCAACCCCTGCTCATTTTAGCTAACACCAAATGTAGCGTATTTGCAATTGCCCGACTAAAAATTATTTGAATTAACACTAGGGATTGTGGAGGTGGTTCCATTACGGAGAGTGTGCAAAGTTTCATTTGGAACCAATGTATCAACAAATCCGTGAGTTTATTAAGCTCTGACCTTCTAGTTAATTTTTTATTTCCACAATCGAATTATCTCTTGGGGTAGTAGTTTTCTTTGATTTTGGATGCTCTTCTGAATGCTGTAGGATGTCAAGTGTAATGGGCATTATTTAAAAAGTTTCTTGAAGAAGCTCATCGTTGAAGTCGAGTCAAATGGGGACGTTGTTTTGGATGAAATATATGAAATGTATATTTATTGTCTGACTAGTCTGAAGGTAGTTTCTTTTTTTAAATTTTTTATGATAATCGGATTTTTCTATCAGCATTGGCTCATTGTGGAATTCCCCTTCCTTTTTTGTTGCCAGGATGATGAATTGACTAAAGGAAACGCTAGAACGTTAAGAAGAGTTTCATTTCTACTTCCCAAGGGTGAATATTTTTTCTTTTCATTCCCTTTTTTTGGCATGGGATGATGTTTAGCTAGCTTTAATACCGCTGAGTATCCAATATGTGGTGTACACAGATTGTTCACAAGCCTCAAGTTGTCAAATAACTAGGAAATTTGAAGTCACGTTGCAATGTTCACTTAGCATGCTTGAAGGAAATACAGGGTATGTACTGCCCCTTTTTCTCTTTCCTTTTTGACTGGAATTGGGCTTGTTTAAGGATATGCTGCCCTAGTTTACTTTGATATGGTTGACAGATACTATGATGAGCACATTTTTTAAGAGATTCTAGATCTTTGGACGTCGTATAATTTTAATTATCTTCAGGAATTCTCTTATTGCAGCCGGGTGTATCAATGAGCCTTCTGGTTAACTTAATATGCGAAACAGCAAACTCATGTTGATAATCTATATGTTTAAGCCATTCGTTTTTCCTTCTTTTTGTGATAAGGGTGGTGTACGGTCTAGCTCTCGCGCACCTCGACTAATCCACTAGGTATCTGCTACCTCCCAGTAGTACATGGTAACTCTATCCTTCTAAAAATGAGAAGAAATAACCTGACCTTTTTGCCTTTGCTGGGATTTGAACCTTAGTCTCACATTGTGTATTCCACCTTTTATCAGTATGTTTACACATTAGGCTGATATCTACTAAGTACTTCAGTAATTAATTGTGTGGAATCTCTACATCAATGTTATTAAAAGCCATCACTTCGTCGCTTAAAGTGATGAAGCGATGCGAAGCACGGGGTTATTACTTCATCGGTGAAGCCATACACTTTAGAGAAGTTTGCACTTCAAACAATGGTGCACAAAGTGATCCTAGCGAGAATCGGTCGCTTCTCTCGACTTTAATAAGTTGAATTAAGTACCATAAGGGTTCATTTGGTACGCAGGATAAGATGGGATAAGGTAAGGGATTAAATTTATACCATGTTTGGTTGATGGTATAAATTTATCCCAGGATAAATTTATACCACCAACCAAACATGGTATAAATTTAATCCCAGACTTAATACTGGATATACCACCTTATCCCATCAAACTTGGGATTATTTTATCCCACCTCCCAAGTGGGATAAAATAATCCAGGGATTATAATCCTGGGATTATTATCCCGGGATAACTTAGTCCGCTTACCAAACGACTCCTAAAAGCTTATAAATATCAGGATTTTTGAATGTTACTTGTGGTAGACATTTTAAGTGACAATAGTCACCCTTTGATGCTTGTGGATGTAATATGGCATAACAACCTCCATTCTAGCATGTATTTCTTACTATTTTCTCCAAGGTATAAAATATTGCAGTCGCATTAATAAAATTCTGGGAATTGTCGATTTCCCATCATATAGGGAAGACAATATAATAGCTCTCATGCACTATACATTTTATGGGTTGAAACATTGTCTTTCATGAGGAGTAAGGTCAGCGCTTAGCCGAGGGAAGTGGGCGTGGTTGTGAGGCTTGAATCACAGGTCATCCCTAGTAGAGGCAGTTTCAAGTACCTTGGGTCGGTTATCCAGGGGGAGGGGAGATCGACGAGGATGTCACACACCATATTGGGATGGGGTGGATGAAGTGGAGGTTAGCATCTGGTGTCCTGTGTGACAAGAGAGTGCCACCGATACTCAAAGGTAAGTTTTATAAAGCAGTGGTTAGACCGGCCATGATGTATGGGGCTGAGTATTGGCCTGTTAAGAACTCACATATCCAGAAGATGAAAGTAGCAGAAATGAGGATGTTGAGGTGGATGTGCGGGCACACTAGGATGGATAAGATTAGGAATGATGATATTCAGGGGAAGGTGGGCGTGGCTCCCATTGATGACAAGATGCGGGAAGCGAGGCTCAGATGGTTCGAACACGTGCAGAGAAGAAGTTCAGATGCTCCGGTAAGGAGGTGTGAGCGGCTGGCTTTGGAGGGCACGAGAAGAGGTAGATGGCGGCCTAAGAAGTATTGTGGAGAGCTGATCAGGCAGGACATGGCGAGGCTTCAGATTTCCGAGGACATGGCCCTTGATAGAAAGCTGTGGAGGTCGAGTATTGGGGTTGTAGGTTAGGAGGTAGTTGAGTCTTTCCTTACTTCGTACCTTTGTGAGCCTAGTCTGGTAGGTTTTTTGTCTGAGACGGCTAGTGGCAATGTTGTGTCTTACTACTCTTTCGTTTTTCATAGTGCCGGGTCTATTTACTGGCTATCGCTTTTGCTTTGCATCTATTTTCTGGTTTACATGATGTTGTTATTTTTCCTATGGTATCTGTTGGTGGTACTGATATTATCTCTTTTCGTCCTCTTGAGCCGAGGGTCTTTCGGAAACAGCCTCTCTACTCCCTCGGGTAGGGGTAAAGTCTGCGTACACACTACCCTCCCCATACCCTACTAGTGGGATTTTACTGGGTCATTGTTGTTGTTGTTTGTGCCACAGCTTTGAGGTTCGGATTGCTGCATGTTGCAAGGGAAATTTGGTGGAAGTTTTGCAAAAGCTAGCGTCGTAGTTCATTGTGGTAGCAAGCAGTAAACATTGACTTCTTATGTGCTTTTACCTGCGTGTATTTCGGCTATTAACTAGTGGTACATAACTTACTAAATCTCCATGCTGTGAATCGGCTATTACCTAGTGGTACATAACTTACTAAATCTCCATGCTGTGAATAGTAACAGTGGAACCTCATGAGATGTAAATTAGCGCATGTGTGCACACACACACATACATAAAATCTTTGCATTCGACGCAAATGCCTGATATGGTGAAAGTTGTGCTCTTTTGTTATCTCATAATCTTTTTACAATAATTTATTCCCAGTTTGACTGCTGATCAATATGTTCTATCTATTTCAATTTCATGGTTGAAACAGGTGCTCGATTTGGCCAGCAGGTCTGTTCCTTTCAGAGTTCATACTTTCTTTTCCAGAACTGTTCTCAGACAAATCTTGTCTTGAGGTGAGATAGCTTTCCAAAGTATTCATCTGTTTGTCTTTGTTTATCAAGTTTATTCTCTTCAATTTGTCTCAGGGAAAATTAAAACATATAATTCTTCTGTTAATCTTGATGGATTTTTCCAAGGCGGAACGCTGCTGCTCGTGATCCTTTCTTGTTTTGCTAGTCAGTCAGCAGTGCTCTTTTATGTACTTAGTTAGGTTGATTTATTTAATAACATTTGTGCCGTTTTTTGTATTTTATCTATTAACAAAGCAGGTTGGTTCAGGTGTTGGATTGGTTGGTGTCTGTTTAGCTCACGTGAATGCCGCCAAGGCAAGTTCGCTTTTACTATTCCATCTTTTTCCCCCTCTATTAATTGTGCCACTCTTGTTTACACAAACGCATCTGACATTGTTATGTCTACCTGCTCATTTTAAGCTTCTATGTTCTATCTTCTTGTTCAAGGACCTTGTTAGACATAATCATATTTTTGATGTTCTCCAATAAGAAGGGTCCGCACAGATCAAATTTGTGAATCGGCATGCTCTATCTCTATTTGTATTTTTGAAATGGCAAAATACCTTTAAAACCCCCTAAACTTGGCACGTATTATTGGTTAGTGGTTATATCCTTGAACTATCCATGGTCTTAATTACCCCCCTATACTTGGTTATTCGATAGCTGTTACCCCCTTGGACGATCTCATCCTAGGAAAGTGGCATGCACTCGCCTGCCACGTGGATTTTCCTGTCCATGTGGCATTTTTTGAAAAATAAAATACCTTTTTAAGTGTGTTACTTTTTTAGATAATCTTTTTCGAATAATATTTATAATAAAACTTGGCTAGAACTACATTATTTAGGCTAATATTATTTATTTGGCTAAAAATAATAAAGTTTTAGTTATTGTTTCTTGAATTTGACCTGAAAATAAAGATTTATAGTCAAGGCATCTAAAAAGATATAAAAAATACATAGTTTAATTTTTATTATTTGACTATAATTTTTTATATAGCTCTAAATTATGGAGCTCTAAAATATATTTATTTTAGAGATATTACCGGAAAAAGTAAAAATACACAGTTGAAATAAATAATCATTGCATCAAAAAAGGAAATAAAAAGAGTGTACAATTGCAAGTTCATTATTTTGGCTATACCTATTTATTTGGTAAAAAATAATGGAGTTGTAGCCATTTTTTTTTTACTGATTTGACTCGAAAATAAAAACACACAATTAAAATAAATAGACATTATATCTAAAGAAAAAAATAACAGAAAATACACAACTAGTATTCCGTTATTTTTGCTAAAAGTTATATATTTGGCTAAAATGATGGAGTTCCAACCAAACTTTTACAAATTTGGCCCCAAAAAAAAGAAGAAATATGCAGTTGGAACAAATAGACATTATATCTATAGAAGAAATTAAAAGGAATAAAAGTTAGAGTAAAGTCTACATTATATGTTAAGATGAACCAAGAAGAAATACATAGTTGTAACAAATAAATCATTATATATGACAATTAAAAGTTAAAAAATAACCTACTTGGAAGCTGATTTTTCAATTTTTCTTCACTCCCACGTGCTTAAAAGAGAGTGCACCCACACTCTTCGCCACATCAGCGTCTAGGGAGGTAATTGCTCTCAAAAGGCCAAGTTCAGGGGGGTAATTAAGACCACGAATAGTTTAGGGGTGTAACTAATAATCCGTGTCAAGTTTAGGGTGGTTTTTAGGTGTTCCGCCTTTTTGAAATTACAATTGCTTTCTTCTTCTCTATTGCATATGTCTCTATGCCTTCTATTGAAAATGGCGGTGATAATTGACTGGACAGTAGATGCAAATGGTTTATTGTAGGATGTGAAGCATGCAATGGATAACGATTAGAATCAAATCTATCAATTTATTCAACTACAATTTGGGTCAAGGATGCACTCTCATGTCACCCAGAAGAAGCTAAAATTGAAAGCGACACTCTTGTAATCATGTGAATTTAGTCTACTATTCCCATTACAATAATTTTCTTGGTTCAGCATTTAAAATTTATCACCCCAGTATATGAATTGAAATAATTGATTAATTTGTCAAGTGAATTCTTTTTTATCCAGTTAAATCTGACCGGTCAAAAGTCAAACCTAGCCTAATAGAGACCTAACTGACCGTGAGATAGACATTACAAATTTTTAGTTGATAAAAAGACTATTTATGTCGATATGTATATATACCATTGTTAATCAAATAATACTTGTTCTATGAGGTGCTGATCACGTCTTTAAATAGTTTACTTGTTTGGCCAAATATTGCCATAAAATCTAGTATTGTTGCATCTTGTCATGTGGGTTATTTGGAATGAAAGAAATAGGAGGGCGTTGGAAGAGGTAGAATAAGATTTTGTAAAATTGCAAGATAGTCTTTTGTTTCTTGTGTCTTTTTGGTGTATTCATGAGGTCCCTATTTGAAAAGAGGATTAGGCCTCTTTTGTTGAGTACCATATTTTGGTGTAGGTTCTCTTCTTTTGGTATACGGCTTGTATACGGGGTTTTCCCCAATTGTTAATAAAATTATTTACCTTATCGAAAAAAAATAAAAAATGGAGCAGAAGACCTCGTATTCAGTAGGATTAACTTTCAACATATTGGTTCAAGTTATTTAATAATACACCAAGTTGCAGAAAATGCCAATTAATAGATTTTTGGTTGACTGTCTCTTTATAAGTATTGTCCATTTTACCATCATATGGATGACATTACACTTCACAAAACCTGTTAAAGCAATTTATGTTGCCTGAAAAAATCCTTCTTCCTCTAAACAACTGCGCATCTTGTAAAAAAATGTTTCAGTCTCGTTATACTTCTTGGTAGTTAGGAACAGCAGCTGCTATAATAGCTTCAGTACCTTTTTGTTTTTTGAATTTTATACTTTTTACCTAAAGTGTAATGGTTAATTTAGATTCTTATCCATATTGATTCAGGTAGTACTTACAGATGGTGACTTATCAACTTTAGCAAACATGAAGCTCAACTTGGAGCGAAATCATCTGCACACTGATATGTTAGACCATACACCAGATACCAAAATGGTCAGTGCTCATTTCTTTTTCTTTTTGCTTATTTGCATGTCTTCTTTCAGAATTTCTTCCAATTGTATTTTGTATTTATGAATTTAAGTTGGCTAGCTTGACAATCATAGGCTCCTTGCATAACTTGCTTGAGTAGAACTGGCGGACATTGGTTGTAAGGGGTTGGTAATGCACTCGCTATATTTACAGCCATAACAGAGCAAATGCATGTTGTTGCTGCACCTTGTTTCAAAATGTAAATAGGAGGTAGGACAAGGTTGGTATTTGGCAGCAAGTTTCTTGGCATGTCTCGCATTGTTACTTCTACCACCATCCCTGAGATAAATTTTGACCTATCAACTTGATTTTTGAACAGTAGAATCATGGTACTTTACAATTCGGCATAATTATGCCTACTGATATCCGTTAATGCTACAAACATTATTTCTTCAACAGTCAAAATGTTTGATGTTTTTGATTCTCAGGGCAAATTGGTTTTCTCTTTTAATTTATAACAGAGGTATACGGGCCAGCCTGCGCACCCTCGACTATTCCACCGGTACTTGCATCGTACCACCAATACAGGTCTTCAAGAATTTGGAGAAATCATCTAGTTTTTTGCCTCTGCAAGAATGTGAACCTACTCTAATCTTCATCTACCGCTAGATCACACCCAAAGAAAAATATTGATGTCTAATCACGGAAGTCAAAATGGTTTTGGATAATCATTCATCATTTAACTTGAAACAATGTTGTAGGGCAATTGCTATTCTGCTTATCCACTTCTGCATGTAGCAAAAAATATATATACCAGAAAAGCAAAAAAACAAAAGATGAAGTGAATTCAGAGCACAATGGTCAGGGACCAGTAAGAAAATCTTCTATGTTTTAATTTCTTCTGGCTACCATTTTGATAATACAGCACCTTGAAAGTTTATTCTATTTATACCCAAAAACATACTGTACTTAGAAATGTCAATTGTGTATGATCATTTGACCAAGCTCCAAGATAAATAGAACGAGGGGAGGTGAGTGTTCTCAAGATGAAACAACCAGCAAGATGTGCACGCACTATCACTGTCTTCACTTAATGGATTTTCATGGACTTATGTGGAATATGCCTTAGATTTCTGGACATGTATGTCTGGTTTTCCTCTCTGGCCAAAGAGGTCACATTAGCAAGTTCTCTTTTAGATAATGGAAATCTGGTGAAAATTCTACTTTATGTTCTTTCTTTGTATAGGTTGTTATGCTTTGCTAGTGATACAGAAAAGTTTACACATTTTGGAGTTTTACATATTGTGGAGTTAAGTTTCACAGGTGATTGCCCTCAGTTCAAGTGAATGCTATTAAACTCATTTAATCTTCTTTTTTTCTTGTTCATTGTTCATATCTGTAAGCTGACTGCCACAGGTGTATTATATCTCCATTGAAGTTGCAAAAATCTACCTTGCAGCTTTGCCTAGATGGAGTTATTAGCCAAAAACATTTGTATAAATATTTATTGTTGGGTTGGACAAAGAACTTGTTCTTATTGTCAGAGACTTGGTGGCTTAGTGAATGTAATTGATTGCCACAGTAGGATGTCCAGATGACGTATCTCTAAGTTTTATAAGTTACTTGGACTGACGAAAAAGAAGTGGCAAGAGTCACTTGGAAGATGTAAAGAAAATTGACATCATTTTATTGTCTCCTGAAAACTGAGTGTCCCCTGAGGACATTATCTTTTCATATTTACAATTGTGCCCAAAGTCCAACATATGTGCAAGATGAGTGTCATTGAGATGTACATGCTAAAGAAAAGATGCGCATGCAAGATACATGTTAGGTCATACTAGATTTTACGAGATTAGAAATTACCACATCTGGCAGTAAGTGTAGTAGCACACATTGAGAATAAAATGAGAGATCACGTCAGATGGTTTGGTCGTGGTCCTACTTCGACCTCTAGATGCAACAGTTTGTAGGTGTGAAACCATGGCTACTGAAGGTGTTAAAAAGGACGCAATAGACCGGAAATCACATGGAGGGAAGTTTGTCTTGAAAGACCTATAATCTCTTAGAATCCACGCAAACTTACGCAAAAAATAGGGCACAATGGAAGAAAAAAGATATATATAGGCTATACACATAGTTGAGATTTGTATGATAGTAGAAAATATAGAGAACTTCCGGTGGAGATCATTCAGCATAAACTTAGAAATTAGTGAGTTTCACAAGTTGAACCCTGTAATATATCTGAAATGTATAGTAGTGTAAACATAAGATAGCAGTTAAGACATATCTTTCTGTATTCAGGTACGGTGCTTGTCTTTGCCATGGGAGTCTGCATCAGAAAATGAGCTACATCAATTCTTGCCAGACATAGTGTGAGTATTTACTCTTAACTTTGCTTTTATTAGTTTTAGTGCCATGCTTATTACGTCCCTTCCCTGTAAGACATCAATCTTGAGGAATGAATTTGCAGATTAACTGTTAGAAACATTGTGGAAAGAAGGAACTAAATGAATCTTAAAAGCCTTATGAAGAGTCTAAAAGAATGCTGCTGCAGCAATTGGTATATTATATTTAATTCGACTATAGTCCTAACGAGATTATGGTGCTAAAAAAGATCAGTATAAGATTTGATTTGGATATAACAAATTTTAAATTATAGCAAGGTGGAGATTGCGAAGAAGATGGATAACCTCGACTGAATATCAATCCTTAGTGTCAATCTTTACTTTATTAGTACCGGATTTTGACTTTCCTCTTTATAGTTTGGGTGCAGATGTGATATACAATCCACTATGCCTCCCATACCTTGTTCGACTCCTTGCCGTTCTTTTAAAGCGGGAAAATCCAAAACTACACCATTTGAGTAATGGCTGCAAGGACTTTCCACCTGACTGGAGATGTTTCGAAAGTCAAGAAACTAGTTCAGCAAGCGACAATGTTTTCCCAGGAAAAGCAAAAATAAATGGTGATACACATGTTGAGCATTTGTCACCTGAACTAGGACAAGGGCCTCTTGCATATATTGCTTCAGTAATTCGCAATATTGACACATTTAATTATTTCCGTTCATTGGCAGAAAAGGAAAATTTAATTGTATCCGACATCACTGAAACGATGAAGCCACTTGACTTGCTTCCTTATGTAAAATCATATCAGCGGTCTAGCATAAGGATGTTTAAAATTTCATACTTGTGCAAATAAGGTTTCTATGTAATCAAACTGACCTAAGTCTGCTGTGTGGAAAATTCAAATTGATTACTGTCACGGCGAGGAAACTGTTAACTATAGCATAGTGATATTTCCTCGTATTCATTTTCTCTTTCTTGTTCGGATAGCTGTTGTGAACAGACGTATTGTTTATCGGTATTTTGAACTTTGAGGAATAATAATTTGAGGAACTCTATATTCTTATTGGGAGAAAATATTAAGATTATGTTGACAATGAAATTTGTGGCATGGAGAGTGGGTTTGTTAGAGTAGTTTAGGGATTTTCTTAGAAAGAACAAGTAATGCGTTGTGAGCCAGTGGTCTCCTGAAACCTAGATCTCCATTATGTTTGGAAGCAAACACTGAACAGACAATGTTGTTCCGTTCGAAGGGGCCTAGAAATTTGATCCAGAAAGTATATGACATCACAATATAGTTATATATACAGGTTTGTAGAAACTGATATATCTATACTTGTCGTACAGAAAGTGGGGATGGTTGGTTGGCCGACCTTCGCTGAAACTTATTTTGCCAATTGACCTTTAAGTTTAAATTATTAGCTAGATTACCTTCTTGATTAATTTGGGTAATGTGTGATTTGAGTTAATGAAAAGATGAAGTGGAAAGTTGACTACAGCCTCAAAGTTTCATTTATGATACTTTGGCCACACTATACAAATATATCATCTACCAAAAATAGAAAAAAAACCATTTCCATCCATCCTCCACCCTCCTCTTCCTGTTCTGACGTGAACATTCGCCATTCCCTCCTTCCCCTTTTGGCTCGCATTTTCCTTCGTTTGTCGCATAAAGGTTACTTGTACCTTCTCCCTTCTTCCCCCTTTCATCTCAAAATCACATTTGCATCGCAACAGTGGAGAATTATTTAGGGAGGAAGCTCAGATTCGTGATTTGGAGCTGAATTGGCGATATGTTAGATTAGGCAATACTTTTGTACGTTAGATTGGGCATTACTTTTAAGGGATATATTATGTCCTGTGTTCGTCTTGTAAGTGATTAAATCTCTTCTTCTTCGTCATTGTGCATTTTAATTTTTGCATATTTGAGCCCTACTACTCTGCAATTTGTTAAGCCACTCGACCACTAGTGCACAATAGACCATAGTTAAATAGACCGGTGGTTCACAACAAACTAATGGGAGACTATGTATTAGTATGATGTCTTTATTTTAGTGAAGGGTTGAAGGGTGATATAACTGGACTTGGAATTCTGATTCAAAGGCGACATTACCTATTCGTAAACGCATCAATGGTGCATATAATGATTTTGTTAGTGCCGTCATTAAATATAGCCAATAACATGTTTGCCGAGACAGCTGAATAATACTTACATGCTTAGTTTAGCGCCAACGAGGGACATGATTCCTCTTTCCTTCATAAAGAATGATGTTGCAGTTGATGAGGCGGCTGAAGTTTCATTTGAAAGGTCTCATCAAGGTTCTAATGTCGCAGCTGCACCGACACTACCGCCACTACCACCTTTACCAGCACCACCAATTTTAGAAGAAATAGCGAAGGATGGCTTCAGTAGATTTAGTCATGGGTTGGATGATTTTGGTGTAAATGAAATGAACTTGTCACGACCCAAAATCCCACCTCAAGCCATAATGGCTAGCCGTACTTGCTAAGCAAGCCAATTCACAATCAATAGAAAATAGTCCAGATTCGTTTAAATAACAAAATCATATCTTAAATAAAGACAGGAATGATCTCGAAGTAGTATGATATATGATACAATCATAACTTGCTCCAAACACGACCAAAACAGTACAATCCCCAAAAATTAGGTGACACAAGTATACGAGCAACTACTGAATAAGTACAAGTCTGAATACATAATCAAAACTGTCTGAGAAAAAGAAAATAGATAGAAGATAACTAAGTACATGGACTCAGGCATTGCGAGATGAATCCATGAGGTGCACCTTGCCCTAAGTCTCTGAGCGAACGTCTAGACTCAACAAGAGGCTCCACTAGTATCACCTGAGGATTTGCATAAAAAGATGTGCAGAAGTATAGTAAGAGTACAACACAGTCGGTACCCGATACGTATCCGGACTAATGTCGAAGAAGTAGTGGCGAGGCTGTAGGCATCAGGATACTTACAACACAGTATACATAACATAGCCTGAAACTGAAGCAGTAAATATCCTCATGAACAACATGCGTTAAGATAATAAACAGTCGAAAGATATAAAGCATGCTTTTCCCATGCAAAAGATAATCATAACGCTGCTCGGATATGGTATTTAAAAACGACATGGTTCAATCAATGGAGTCAAGGCTCCCAACTAGCATATATATGTGATATGCTACAATTGGCATTTAAATGAATGCTTCTAAATGAATCAAGGATGTCTATGCATGCTCAAGACTCTATCTTTTGCCATAACCGGTACAAGATTCATGTACCCCGATACAGAATCCATGTATCACTATAACCTGATACAAAATCTATGTATCACTGGAACCCGATAAAAAACTTATTTATCGACCTGATACACAATCCATGTATCGACCATGCTTACAGGACTCAAAGTAACATGGGTAATCACGTGACTCCAAAGTGATGGTACTAAATCCAAGAGCAAAAGGAGCTTGATAGCTCACTTACAATCAAATATCTGCTCATCATGTCATGTGCCATAACTGTATTTCAACTGCATGACCTTGCCTTTCATGCCATAATCTCAGTTCAAATCAAGTATCCAAATATAATAAGTATGCATATGCCCAAGATTTAATAGATAAAAGATGCACAATGACTTAATGATAATCATGCGGATATGTACTCATGGAAATTCTATATGACTATAGATGATTCAAGCAATTAACATATCAAGAATAAGCTCCCATGCCTTCATAAATAATCAAAAACCTAGGCATGTTCTCTAGCATGAATAAGAGAGTGAATGTAGTCATATAAGCTAAATAAATCAAGATGAGCACATAATTAAAACAAGGCATAAAGTATTTCAATTCTACTCTGGACATGATATAAACTTAGTACGTG